TAATTAGCCATTAACACGTCCATTACGCTACGCTTCGTTTAAAATTTGTCCCGAATAATTGGAGATTAATGGCCAGTTAACTCCGTAAAAATGGACTAATTTTAAACAATACGTAAAATTAATAAAAGAAGTCAGAAAAATTGCAAAATTGCAATCCTTACCATATTCTTTTATTAACGGGTTAACTCTGAGAATCAATTTCTCATTCACCCTCTACCATTTTTGGCGTATAAATTGTCAAAACATTTATCTCATTTAAGAGAACACACGTCCATTAATTAACGGTAAAAACCGTTAGTGGACCTATTGACAAATATACCCAAGTTGGTCCATTTAATGTCTATTAAAAATGCCAAAAATTCCAACACAAACTACCATGCAGGGTCTCTAGATATTCATACCGTGCTTGAAACCAATATAATCTTCACCTGGTGGAATCGATGGATCCGAAAAATCTCCACCAAAGATGATTCTAAAAGACGGAGTTGTAACTCCTAGTCCTGAATATACTTTGTGGGTTGTGATTGACGCTTAGATCGATCTGAGCATGCCAAAACATAAAAAAGTATGAATATATCAAAAGTTCTACGAAATAAGATGTGACATGATTATATTGTACGGAGTATCATTTTATAACATGAAAAGTGAGTAAAATTTAATCATGTATAATAAACATACAACTTATATTCAGAGATATTTATTAATAAAGAGCACTCTCATACCAAACTTTGATTTTCGACACATGAAGTCATACACTCAATCTTTACATCGTACTCCCTTTCCTAGTAAATATTAAACGTGTGCATGCATATAACATAGAAACTATTAAAAAATTAATAATCTTTTTTAAATTTTTCTCTGTTCTCAAATTAATAATTTAGTGTTCTCCGAAGTCCGACCCAATGATATGTCTCATTTAATTTACAAAATAAAAAATTTTAAAAATGCATAGTTCATACTCCGCGCATAATTTTTTTAAAGTAAATTATATAATTGGTTCTTTAAAACATGTTATTTTCCATTTTTAGTCATCTATTATCAAATATTACTATCGTAGTCCTTTTATATGTACTTTTACATAAATCGTCCTTTTTTTATCTTTTATCATATTGTTGTTAATTTGAGAGTTAAAAGTATGATGTTGGTTAGACGGTCAATACAACAATAATGATTATGAGTATAAATTTTTAGCCTTTCAATTAACACCAACATGACAGAAGATTAACAAAAAAGTTATTTGTGGAAAGATACCTATAAAAGAAGAATCATAGAGATAATATTTGATAATAGAAGACTAAATCGAAAAAAATATTTGTTACTCCCTCCGTCCTATAATGATCTTCCCGGTTCGCAAAACGAAGAAAAATCTCAAGTTTTTTCAATCTATTTTATTTAAATATTGGTATAGAAATAAAAAATAAAACATACATATTTAAAAACTACACCAAAAGTTCAACAAAACAAGTGGTGACAAGAATATTTTATTTTATCATATAGGCCATGAAAAAACACAAATAAATATAAATTTCCGTGAAGTTGGAATAGTGCTCTGGGAAGATCATTATAGGACGGAGGGAGTATAAATCACTAATTATGAAATTTACTCTTTTTTTAAATATTCTTTTCTCTATCCTCTCTAAATTTGCATCATATAATTTTACAGTTTTTTTCTTAGGGGACGTCTATTTAATTGCTACGAAATTCAAAAGACAACATTAATTCAAGAGACAGAGTAAAGTAGTGTGAACTTGTTATTGATGTGTCAATTTTTATCCTATTCGAATATTAGTGTCGTCTACTCGTCTTTCCTCCCCCAATTAAGATATAGCAGGATAAGAAAAGTAGCCTAACCCTGCCCCCTAATTTTATTTTATTTAATTTTCACCATTTCTTTCTTGTCATTACAAAAACATATTTATAATGTGTCACATGCGACTATTTTTTTGAGCACTAGTGATCACAGCCATCACGCGGTATTCAAGCGATCTCTCTCGAAACATCGGTCTTTATTTATCGTGTGTTCTCGAATTTGTCATGTTGCTGACTTTATCACAAGCCTACCTAATTAGGCGATTGTGAGGCATGTCTCCTACTCAAGCTACGCGTATCCCGTGTGTGGACCTAACAAAATAGACCCCGACCCGATAACCCAAAACCGAAGCTGGAACAACTCGAAGATTAAACAATCGAATTATAATCGAACACCCGAAATGATCCAAACTGAACCGACGCCGTATGTATTTAGACCCGGATCATATCCGAAGCCGATTGAATTTGATCTATTTAACTATTTAAGTCTGAAACCGATTAGACCCGTAACCGATTAAGCCCAAAACAGAGTATACTCGATATTAATCAAAATCAAAATAAATTAAACTCAAATCCAATCAAACTCAATAGCTCATTAATTAGTTGAGATGTTTCTAAGAAAATCATATTTGAATTATATGTACAACTATTTTCAGGTATAAATTTCGTACTCCATATTTTATCGCTTAAACTAATAAGATAGTTGTTTATTCTTATACTGAGTATATACACATTTATAGTGATAGCGTAACACACATTGATGAATATACTAACTCATTATTGGTGATACACATATATATACCCCCTTTTACACATATGGAGGGGGGCTATACACAAGGCTAATATTAGGAATCCTAATAAAAAGATTTCTCATATGAAACCGGCATAACCCTGAATCAATATAACCCAACCCGATATAAACCTGAATCTATATAAATCCGATCTGGAATAAAAAAATCAAATAATCAAGGTGACCTGAACCGAAAATATTCAAATCGGAATCGAACATATTATCCCGATTGCTAGGTCCACGTATATGCTACTCTCGAGGATTGGGCCTGACGCGAAGGCCCATATGCCATTAGTAGGTCTATGGAAAGATTAAGTCCAACACACACTCGGGCCAAGGGTGGCCGTGAGGCCCGTGAGAGCGCTATGGGAATTCATTTGTTTTTTATTCCATGAGTCCATGACAATATAATATTCCATATTGATATTTTAAGTGTTTTGTAGTATAAATATTGACAATATTAACACTGTAAATGTTATTTTGGAAACAAAAATATTAAGATTTAACTTTGATATTTTTCTATATTTTATTCTTATTTTAGTCTTTTTCCATAATACTTCTTTGATCTATTACTAAAATTACATTTACCAACAAATAATACAACCTACGATATTTGTACTGTTTTGAATTTAGACAATCAATATTGAAAAACTTTTACTATTGAATAAATAAAATTGATACTCATACATTAGATATTGATACAAATTTAATTTAATTAGATTTATTTTATAAAATGCTACCCTCGTCTTTCATAGAGCTTTCTAGACGTTATTCACATAGTCAAGCCTAACTCACTTTTTTTTGTTTATTTTTACTACTCATCTCATAAATTAATAGCCTTATTGATCACCTCTTCGTTTGTAAAATTTTTCATGTAGTGCTTTTACTATATAAATTTTATTTTTTAATTTTCCATCTAATTAAAAAGATAAATTGAAAATAAAATCGATCAAACTTTATAACTCGTAATGGAAAAATGTATGAAAGACGGAGGAGTATTGTTTACTCCCTCCGTCCCTAAAAGACAATGCACCCTCTGACAACAAATTATATATAGTTTAAAGTAATTAATTGTTATAAAACAAATATTTTAAAATATATTTTTTTATAATTCGGAGTTAAAGAGTATCACAAATTAACCAAAAATATTAAAAGTGTGAGAATCTTTTGTAGGTAAGAAGATACTAATGTAACAAACCAACAAAATTGGACGTGACCGGTAACCCGATGATTTGATAGACTTTCTTTTGCGGGACTGGCAATAATACATACTAATAAAACTTCTTGTTTGAGAAAAAAAAATAAGTTAAAAGAAAAATATTGAAAATATATCAAAATCAAAGTTTCATATTTTTATTCTAAAATAGGAGTTAAAATGTTTTTATATTATCAATCATGACTATGTACATCACCAAAAATATAATAAAATGCTCATGCAGAATGCTACATTATCAGAGTAGGAACTGCTATTTAGAAAATAAAAAAATGAAACTCTTATTTTTGTACTTACTCTTTATTTTACTTTTACTTAAGGTGATTCATTTTACTTAAAGTATAAAAAAGAGTACTCTCTTCATTCCAAATTGATTTAAAGAGTTCAAATGATGTACAATTTTTTTAAATATCTTTATTTATAAGTTAGTAAAGAAATAAAAATTAAAAATTATATACTTTAGAATTATATCAAAAATTTTACAAAATTAACATGAATATTTTATTTTATCAAATGACTAATACAAAAACACAAGTAAACAAAAATTATGAAGAAATACAACTAAATATTATAAACTATTCTCGGACGAAGACATTAGAGCATTTGAAATGCTCTAAAAAAAGTCATCGCGCCGGACGAAGGGGAACGTTGAGCTGATCTGCCGCTCCTGCTGCGCGGGCAAGACAACAGGTGGTCGTCCATTGCATCGGGTCTCTTGGTCGATCTGGAAATACGTAGTATTTTTTTTTTAAATTTCAAGTCTATAAATTCATTAATGCTCCATTTCTAATTTATCACTCATTCAATCTCAACTCACTGACTCTCTCCTTCTTAATTATTTTGGAAGTGTTTCTCTGTACTGATGCTTATTAGCTTATTGCTGATAAACAGTTTTTAACTTATAAACTGCTTACAAGTTAAATATTCTTTCGCGGAAGTAAAAATGACTTAAATGATAGATAAATCATTTGTAAATATTCATAAATGGTGAGAGTCAACTTTGTAAATAATCTGATCAAAACGAAGAAACAAAAAAAATGAATTAAAAATAAATAGTTAAGATCTATTTATTTTTTATAGCTTATAAGCTGCATATTGAGAATACAGAAACATTTCATCAGCTGACTTGTAATTTAAAAAATTGTTTATAAACAATTTTAACCATCTTATAAATATAAAGAAACACCACCTTGGCACCTTCATCTATTTCTATTTCACTCTAAACAAAGGCTCTTTCCCTTTTTTATTTCTTATTGTATTCGGTTATTTCGATTTCTTGCTTCAGTGTATTTGTTTTTTAATAAAGAATGTCTTTATTAGCGTTTTTATTTTAATTATAACTATTTTTTTCTAAAAATTTTAAATTAAAAATAATGAATAATGATAGAGTTGAAAGTGTTATGGGAGGGGACTGAAAATTAGTTTGATGCAAGTCTAGACAAATTGAAATGGGTGCGAGTCCACCTATAATTGACTAGATCCGGGTTCCACATCATGATCGACTTCCCTCCATTATTATCTCCAACCCCCGACCACCTTGCTCCGATCTGAACCTGTTGTAAATGTCCCCTCGGTAAAACTTTCTTGTTCTAACCACCAATACGCAAGAAACAAGGACGCTAACCACCGTCGCCGCCGTGATTATCAGGAAGGCCGTTTTGTAACACTCCGCCCCTACGCAACTCAGTTCCTCACCCGCCGCCGCGGCTTTGACGATCAGCCGCTGTCTGGCCGCCTCCCTGTCGTACAAATGCCCCGCCACTCGCACGTTGAGCAAGTAGGCCCCCACCGGGCTCGCCCCCCCGCCCAAGTTGTACAGCGTGGAGTAGTACTTGAGCCCGAAGATCTCGGAGATGATGGCGAAGATCAGCGGCCACTGCGCCCCGAAACAGAACCCCACGATCACGGAGGCCACGTAGAGCGAGTTCGGGACGGCGAAGGCTATCAGCAGGTGGCCGCCGCAGGAGAGGACGAGCACCGCCGTGAGCATCAGCGGCCGGGGGAATCGGTACTTGGCCAGCAGGAATTCCGAGGCGAACCCGGCCGCGACGCGGCCGAGGTAGTTCCATATGCTCACCAGCGACACGAACGTCGTGATGCTCTCGGCGTTGTAGCCTTGCGCCTTCCCGATCTGCCCGAGGTTGTCGATCGCCGTCAGGGTCCCACCGACCCCGAACGTCGTGACGGTGAACAGTGCGATCATGTCCACGCTGAACACCGCTTGCAAAATTGTGTAGTCCTCCCCTCTCGGTGGCGGATTGAACACATTTCTAAAACACCCATCTCCGCCACCCGCCGCCTCCTGCTTGGATTCGCCAGCCATAGCCGCCGCCGGCGGCGGCTGGTTTTCTTGATTTTCGGATGAACACAACGGATCTCTCTGCTTGGTTTTGAGTTCTTCTTTGAAGACGATGAAGAGAGGGGCAAAGAGGAGAATGAGGACAATTGTCCCGCTCGCAACGTATAATGGCCTGGTGAATGCCACTCTGTTTTGGACAATGATAATGGCCATTAAAAACCCGGCCAGGCCGAGGGATATGAAGAGGAATTTGTAGAAGACTTTGGCGTCGTTTTCAGTTTGCTGGACCGGGTTCATGTACCGGACCGTCCTGAGGAAAACGCAGGACACGGCCGCCGGCAGCCATCCGATGAGCAAGATGAGAGATTTCCGGTCGCCGTCGCCGTAGAAGGCGTGGAACAGCTGCGTGATGATTGCGCCGCTTAATCCGACGAACCCCTTCACCAGTCCCAGAACGACGCCCCTGCTCTCCGGGAAGTTCTTCACGCAGGCGACCAGAGCTCCGGTGTTGGCGAACGTCTGGGAATTGGCTCCGACGCAAATGTAGAGACACATCTGCCAGAGCTTCGGCTTCGCCACGCGCCGCGTCACGGCGAGCCAGATCATGGAGTAGCCGAACAGGTTCATGACTGCTCCGGTGAGGAGGACCACCGACGGCGGCGTGACCTCGTTGACCAGGCCGGAGATTATCCCGACGTTGCCTCCCAGGTCTTTGAAGAAGCTGAGCAAGTTTAAGGTCGTCTGGTCGTACCCGAGGGCGGATTTGACCTCGCCGGAGTAGAGCCCGAACATGTAGGTGGCGCCGGCCATGGCCATGATGAGAAGGGACCCGAAGACCATGAACCACCGGCCGGTGAGAACACGGAGAAGCAAGTTCCCCATCGATCTCCACCCACCGCCGCCTCCTTCTGGCTCCCCTGCAACCATATATTTTTTCTCTGCTACAGTTTGGAATGAGGCAGTTTTGGAGTAGTGTAAATTGCTCTACTTATGGATAATGAAGAGCTTAGATATACAACAACCTCCATCCCCAAAAACTTCCATATTTTGACTTTCTTGTCAATTATTAACACGATTCTATACTAACAATTTCCCTATTTTGCATTATTATTTCATGAAATAAAATGTTCTATAGAATTTTTAATCTTATAGTGTATTCAGCATACACAAATGCTCATGACATTCCAGTAAACTTAGCCTACATAGCATGTGTCACGAAACAATTGATACACATATAATCAACAATCTCTCTTTTAGCGATTGCCTTCACTGAAATCGAACTTGTGATCTTGGTCCAATACTAGTTGTAGGATCTGAGACGCTATCAAACTCTTCTAAAACCAATTATGTTAGAGGAAATATATACCATAGCCTTATAATACAATTAGTAGGTACACACAAACAACAACAATATTCGAGTGTGACTTGGACAACACAACATAGTATCCGCCATGGGATAATTAATACACAAATAGCCAACATTTTATTTATTTAATTTTATGTGTAAAATTTAAGAATAAAAATTATTTACCAAAGTTTTAAAAAACAATATCAAAAGATTTGTAAAACCAAATATGACTTGACTATATAATATTGTTTCATCAAATGAGTAACAAAAAATAGGTAAACAAAGCATATAAAATTTGGAGATACAAATAGTGTACGGGAAAAGAAATTGTATAAAACTAATGTTTAGTTAGAACATAAATCTAATAGAGTATAATGTATTTTATTTTTAAATATAAGTTTGACATATTGAAATTGTATATGACATTTATTTCCAAAAGACTTGACTATTTTGAAGATCTAAATAGTATTTGTTCAATCTTAGTGCCCAATAATTTCTTTCTCGTTTTGAATTAGTACAAAAATTAAAAAATGTAAATATAAGGATTTTCTCTTATTTATAACTGATACTCCCTCCGTCCCTAAATAGATTACAATTTTTTTTCTCTCTCCTCTCGATAACTTTTGTTAGTTTATGCAATTTCATTAAGTATTTGATAAAATAAAATATTCTTGTCACCTCTTGTTTTATAGAACTTTTGACGTAATTTTTTAATATGTAATTTTTATATCTTATTAATATACCAATTTGTAGATAAAATGATTTTAAAAAGTAGAAAATTTTACTCCATAACCCGCAATTTGTAATCAAATTGGAGACGGAGGGAGTATGATATAATAAAAAAACGAAAAAGAAATTCGAACACAAGAAAATTGTCTGGCCACTTGCGTCGATAAGTTTTATTGGGCGAGGTAGTTGAAACTGTAGAATGGTAGTGGGGGATTGTATTTGTTTGGGACGCAACTCAGTCGTGGAATTGACCAAACTGACCAAAGTGTCAACCGTGGGAAGTGGAAAGTGGACTTGTCGGCACTCCATCGCCATTTCATGGGGTACGGCTCTAATTTCTTTGATGCTTTTATTGCGCTATAAATGACATATAAATAGCTATTGATTTTTATTTTTTATATTCCAAATTAAATTGTTTATTTATCTAAATTTTATTTATTTATTTTATTTTCATTAGTCATTTGATAAAATATTGTTCAATATATTAACACGTTACTACTAGTCTTGTAGATTTTTTGATGTAATTTTTAAATATGTAATTTTCAAATTTTATAACGTTTTTTATATAAAATTATTTAAAAATAATTTCAGACAAATATCACAAACCAAAACAAAAAATTACTATTGCCATTCTGATTCCTTTTTCATGTCACTGAAGGTGACTGGTTATACCCTTATACTCTCTCTTTCTTAAAATTAATTTCTCATTTAATTTTTCACGGTCTCAAATACAATACAATGACCATTAATATTGCTATTTATATATAAATATAGATTATACAAATAAAATATTTTAGAACTATATTTCAAAATAAATTTATTGATATTAAATTCATATGAAAAATCAATGTATTTTTTAATAATATACGGCCCAAGTTCAAAAGTTTGGCCATTGAAGTCACTCTGAGAAGTTAATATTAGGCGTATGCTTGTTGATTTTTATTAATCGTCCCTTTTTTATTGTTTTGATGTACGCTTTTTTTTCTTTTTTATATTTTATATCGACCTTTCTCTTTTTTGAATTAATTTTTTACGTTGTCTTGCATTCATCATTTTTTTTACTCGGAATAATTTGTACAAAAAAACTTTTTTTTATGAATTCTTGTTCATCTCCGGAAATTAATTCCATTTGTTATTAATATTATTGGATCAACTTTTTTCAATTAAAATCATTTCAATATTATTTTTTCTAAATTTTTAGAAGATTTCAATACAATTCTAAATATTTAAAAATAACATTACGTGCGTAAATACTACGTATTATACTAAAAATGGCTCCATATAATACAGAAATGATGACTTTTTTCCATATAAAAAAGGAGTTTGAGAATACAATGTCAGGGGAGATATATCAATAATGTTGCCGAAATCTTTTTTCAATAAATAATATTTCTTCGCTCAAGAAATAATCTTGTCATTCACTATTCACATGATCAAACATAATTTATTTGTTGGTTTAGTTTTTAAGTTCATCTGATAAAATTATACAGAGTATAATCCTGTTACATCTAGTTTTCTAGATCTTTTGATGTGGTTTTTAACTATGTAATTTTTATTTTTTAATTTTACATCATTTTTCATATAAATTAATTTAAAAAATAACTTTATTCTAACATCGTAACGCGCAATAAGAAGCCAAATTATCAGACGGAGGAAGTACTTTCTCCATCACAAACTAATCTTTCTTATTTCATTTTTAGTTTGTCTCAAATTAATGTTGCTATTTCATTCTTTGAAAAACTTTATGTGACTTGCTTTTTCTCGCTTTTTATCATATCTTATTTTCAACCACATAATTTTATTCTTCTTAAATTTCATACAAAGTCAAACTGAGAGTTTTAAACGGAGACGAATAGAGTATTATTAGATGAAGTCAATGGCAATTAGCAAATATCATTGGTAATACTATCTTTTTAACGTTTTAAAATTAATGTAAGAGATATTCACTAAAACAATTATGTATGATGTTTAAATATTTAATAATAATTTAATTCATATGTATATAATTTACATTATCTTTGACCAAACACTATAAATCATACCAATAAAGTTAAATTTATTTAAGAGGAAGATTGGAAGAATGTTTTTTTGTTTTCAAATGGGAAATAATCAAAAAGATGAATGAAAGCTTACAATTAAATCTAATCAGCAATTTGTTGGAGTTCTAGTATAGATGTGGCACTTTCACATTCGGCAGGGGAACTGTGTCCGGCGTCTTCTTTCTTCCACTTACCTAATCATCGTGAACAAAAATTCTGCGGCGTCGGATTCGCCGTTCTTCTGTTTTGGAAAATTATCATTCAATCGATCATACCATTCAATTCGTCTCAGATCCACACGATGGATGATTTGGATTCGTTTCAAGACCACAATTGGGACCTCTCTAATTTCGATTGCTTCGTCAACGACGTTTCTCCCTGCTCCGATCCTTTATTAGATCATCATTCAATTTCGTCGAGGTAAATCGTTTCCCCAGCCGAAGATCATGAGAATGTGGTTAATCGCTTGGAATCTGGAACTGTTGCTATTGATTTTCTCGGCGATTGAGCTCGTCTCGAATCCGTTCGCCCGAGGAGATTGTTCATGTTTCTGCTTTGTTGACTCTGTGCATTAATTGGACGCATTTGTGGTTTTTTTTCGAGTTGAAACTGAATGGCGCGTTTGTGTCACTTGAACTCCTGACCTGATTGAGCATTATTTGGATTGATATCAATTGATCCGCTCTCAATTAAACTAAATTTCATTTTTGTCTTACAGAAAGTAGGAATTTGATGAGACTTAGACGAGTACAGTGTACATGTTACTAGATCATCTTCATAATAAGAAAATGATGCATATGCCTTTTGTTTTCCTTCACTCATGCTCAAACGATTATTGGCTTGTAGATCTTCAGATGCAGTGGATGCATCACATCATGGCACTACATCTCAAGGAAATGAATATTTGCAGTCAGAATGCCCAAGAAAGAGGTACTCATATACATATCTAATTAGAGCTTTGCTTCCTATGATTTGAATGCTAAAACAATTTGTGAAAGACTCTAAGCTTTTCACTCCAAGTTCAAGATTCTGAGTTCAATTTCAGCTTTTAGTTATTCTAGTCAGGCACCATTTTGTATGGATAAAGTAATGTAGGAGAGTGAGATACTACTTTATAATGGGAGATCACTTGCTGTTAAGGCTTTCTTGGTAATGCTATGCTTATAAGTTTTGATAATGTGGAGTTGGAAAACACTAAGAAAAAGCTAAGTTCTGAAAAAAAATATCCTCAAGTGTCTTAGTGCTCATAATGCTATTCCCATTCTTGATGTGATATACTAAATCAGAATAGGGCGTTGAAGTTATTATCTAGAATAAAAAGATGTCTGAATAGATGTAATAATTGTATGCACATTCTGGATGGTTTATATATGGTGCAAGTAAGCAGGGGATAGTTCTGCCAAGCTGTCCAGAAGAATTTGGGCTGTAAAAATAAAATTAATTACTAGACAAGGAATAGCAGTTCCAGATTCCCTATAACTCTCGTCAAACCTCCAAATCTTCACACTACCTGAGAGTGAAATGAATAAACAACGCTAGGCATGGCCGGTAATTGGCCCTGGATTTCTACAGTCCAATTTTACATATGTTTCTCATTTGATGATTAATTATTTAATTTTAACTTAATAATCATGGTTCTTGAGCTGGGGGTCTTCTAGAAATAGTCTTTCTTTTTTCGAGTAGGTGTAAGGTCTATGCACACACCCTCCCCAAACCCTAGCTTTTATGGGATGTTAATGGGTTTGTTATTGATTTTGTTGGAATTTAATAATTCCAATCAACTCCAAAATCATTTCATATAATATTTTTTGATGTTTTTGAGACTTTTGATCATGTTTAGTGGATGGAGTCATAGAAGATTTTCATAATTTGTTTTATGAAGATTTAATTATGGGTAATTCATGAATACTATAGTCTTGATGTTGTAATTGAAAAC